GGGCCAGGGATGTGGCTCAGTGGCTAAGCACCTCTGGGTTCCATTCCTGATACCAAAAACGACACAGCTAACATGAACCTGCCAAATCCAGACCACAACAGTAACAACAAACTGTCATTCCTGTCAAATTCATCAGCTTGTCAACGACTGTAACTAATTTACATAAAATCAAATTCATAAATTTATCCACCACAATTTTTGTAGAAATGGATTCATTTCCTGCAGCAATAATGGTAGACAGAGTTTCTCTGTATCTTAAGTGGCATTCTGGAATCTAGGACATGGATTTCAATTGGAAATCATTGAAAAGATAAGATCAAATCTCACCAATTTTCTATGCATACTCAGGGGTAGCAAAAGATAAATTAGATGTGTTTTTGTTGTTGTTTTTTTTTTTTTTTTTTTCTGTTCTGCTCTTTTTCTTTGGTTTACGATCAGAGATTAAACCCAGAGGAACTTTACTGATGAGTCACAACCCCAGACATAAGGCCTGGCTAAGCCGCTAAGGCTGTACTCAAGTTTACAGTCCTACTGCCTAAGGCCCTGGAACAGCAAGGATCACAGGTGTGCACCACTGTACCTGGCTGTAATTGTTTTCACAATGGAAATGTAACTAGACTTTTTAAAATCCACTTCTTTCTTGCCTATTTGATAATAGTCCATCCCATTTGGCTCTGAAAAAATAGACCTGGGCCTCAAAATGTGAGCAGATCATTGCAAAGTGATACACAGAAAGCTTTGGTGCTGAGGGAGCACACATGTGTCAGGCTCAAGGGGCAGGGAAGGTCCCTGACATCTGGGACATGACCTCTCCTGGTCTTGATTCCTGAAAGCCTCTAGGATCACCCTCCCAGGGACCTAGACCATGACTCCAGTCTACGAGGCTTTTCAGGTTTGCACAGCTCTGCACTGGGGTGGGTGTTGCTTATGCTCTGGGAGAGGTTTCGCTCCTTCACACTGTGAGACTGAAAGGGCAGGAATCACTGGTGACCTGGACCCTCAGCACCAGCATCCACAGGCTGACTGTCCACCTCTCTCCAAGGAATGGGAACAGAGCTTGGGAAAAACAAGGTCCCAAGGAAGTAGCTGTCTAGATGAGGCCTGTTCCAGGAGATTCCTCAGCCCAGAGCCCCCAGCAGCTTCCCTGAGAGGCTGCACCCCACACCTCAGGTGTCCTCTAGGAGGAACTGACCCAGGGCCTGAAGTTCTGTTCACCCTGCAGGGACCAGGGCAGCTGTGGGCACCTTGTGGCAGCTCCAGGAGAGGACAGTGGCTGAGGACATGGGACCCTGTGAGGCGTCCAAAGGGAACCTCTGCCCAAGAAATCTGACATGGTGTCTACACCTAAGGAAGATAAAGGGAGAAGCACAAGATTTTTACGGCTGTGCACTCAAGTTCTCTATACAGTTGCATCTACATCAAAGAACCTTCAGAGTACTTGACTTGGCTAACCAGACCACCATGAGGGTGGAAAGGCAGGGTTCTGTATGGAGAGCAAAAATTATCTTGGGATATCTTAAGCCCTTTAATAGCCAATTATCTTAATTTCTGGATCAGACCACAATTCTCAAAACTATTAAATTTCTCAGAATATATCCCTACCCTTACCAGACATCTAGTCCCCACCATCTACCAAAGTAAGAATGTAATAACAACAGTCAGAAGAAATTTCTTTTTTCTTTTTTTCTGTTTTTTTTTTTTCCCTGTAACCCAACCATCTGATGATCCTACCAACGCATTTGGTTAATGTAGTGATACACAACTTTCTTTTATAAAAGTTCATGTAGGCCAGACACAGTGCCACACAACTGTAATCCCAGTAGCTTTAGAGGATAAGGTAGGAGGACTGCTAAATTCAAAGTCAGTCTCAGCAATTTAGTGAGGGCAGAAGGAACTTGATGAGATCATGTCTCAAAATACAATCTAAAAAGGACTGATTGTGGCTCAGTGATTAAGTGCCCCTGGGTTTAATCCTTGTCTTTCAGGGTGGGACACATACATCATTTTGGGTCACTTGAATCCATGTTCCTGAGTATGCTCATTAATATTTGAATCAAAATGAACTATTTTCCATAGCTGGGATTGCCAATGCCTTTAATGTCAACAGCTTGAGAAACTGAAGCAGGAGAGGCAGGACTTACAGGCCAGGCTGGGCAACATAGCCAGACCCCATCTGAAAATCAAATTTAAAGAGCTGAGGATGAAGAACAGAAGAATGAATCACACGCTATTATCCTATGTGCACATATGACTACAGGACTGGTGTGAATCCACATGGAGTACAACCAGAAAAAGGAACAGTGACACTCTATTTATGTGTGCTGTGTCAAAATGCATTATAATGCTATGTACAACTAATAAAAGCAAATTTAAGTAAATAAATGATCTATGTCAAATTGGGGCAGGGGGGCTTGGAACATAACCCAAGATTCAATATCCCTGGGTTCTATAAACAAATGCCTTTTTTTCCTTTTAAAGTAATTATTTTGACCAAACACAGAGAACTGTTAAGTGATTATTCTTTCCCCTCAAGTATAATAATCACAAATAGAAAACAAATGCTTTCAAAAGTGTTCTTCTTACCAGGCACACAGGCCTTGTTAGAATGGCCTTAGGCCTGAGCCTAAGCAACTCCATTTTAAAAGACCTGCAGTTTCACCAGGCACATCCACAGATCCCTCCAGTAAGGCCTCAAACAAGTTCCTTCCCCTCACCCTGATAAAGAGAGTGAAGCCTCTGGCAGGCTGTCCTTGCCTGATAAGAGGGAAAGGCAAGAAGATCAGGGTGGAGATGATCCCAGGGTAAATGATGTCACTGAGAAATAGGGTGGTAGCTGATAAGGATTGAAAGCGTAATCAAAAGCCCCCAAATGTAGTATAAATGATAGAGCTGATGAGCAGGAATTCAGCCAACAGAAACAAGGATGCACTCGAGCTGGAGAGTCTGATGAGGACCTGACATCCCATCACTTGGCATCTTTCCTGAGCCTCTGCAAGATCCTCACCATTCTCAAACTCTACTGCCTCATCTGGACCTTGGTGAGAGCTGCACCTCCTCCCTAGGACCCCCTCCTCAACTGCTCCTCTGCTCCACACCAGGAAATGCTTGCCTTGGTTCCAGACCTGGTCACCGAGGTCTGAGTGAGTGTGCATCTGCTGGACTCACAGCCTAAGACATAAGATCTTTGAACTTAGCATGCAGAGGGAATGTCTTTAGCTTATCATAATTAAGTGTTTTCCAGTGCTTAGAATGAATCTAGAATTGTTTGCTGTGAATTAATTAACCTAGAATTGTTGCAGTTAGGGTGATAAACAAGTCAAGATGGCACCTGGCTTTTAGCCAGAGGAAGTAGTGGTTGAAAAGTAAGGCCAGCAAGCCATTAAGATGATAGAGATTCCTTAATGAGTGACTGCTGTGTCTAGATTATGTCAATCAAGTTAAGCTGTGTGTAATCATTAAGATGATGATTCCTTATTGGTTGACTGTTATACCTAGTTTTCGTTAACTGAATACACAGCTTGTTCTTAATTATGTAAATATACCCCTACTGTCCTACAATAAACGGCTCCCACTCCTGCTGTATCCACCTTCACAAGTTGATCTTCACCCCCCAGTTAGTTTGCTGCTTCCAGGCTGTGGCACATTTTGCTGTGAATTGATTATGTCTATTGCACTGCCTAGCATTAAGGATTGTTGTTCTCTTGATTAAGAACCTATACAGTTCAACTGTATTAAGTAATTTGAGTGAATAGAGCATTGAAAGGGGCAGAAGTGTGTGGACATTCTTTATTTCTCCCCTTCACTGCATAAGTCACAGTTTTGCCCCCTCCACACAGCCCTGTCATCCCAGGAACTTTGGAGGCTGAAGCAGAAGTGAAGCCAGATTTACAGATAGGTAGTTAGGTAAATTGGGTCTAATATTGTGTAAGATAAATAAAACAGAGGCCCTTATAGAGAATGGAGTCCTGGAAACCAGAGCAGCAATTGAAATGTTAATGTCCCCAAGACAGGAACCCATTCTAAGGAACTGATAATCATAATCCAAAATCCACCCCAGGCCTTTCCTGCCCTGATTACTCCTCCAGCCCACCAATCTGCCACCTTTTGGACCTTCCCACCTGCATTCTATCACTGCAACATAATGAGAAACAAAGTGTGGGAAAGCGGAAAGAAGACTTTAGCTATAGAAGAGGGAAGACCTCCCCCTTACAGGGATTCCACCTCTTGGGTCCCCTTCTTCCTGCGGGGAGAAGTGTTTTCTGCTGTCCTTTAATAAACCTCTACTTTCCACTCTACACTTGCCTCAGCGTGCTTCTCTGGTGTTATACTTCAGCATTCGGGGAAGCAAGGACTCGTCACTGGTAAACAGCAGTCACAGAAGGATCACAGGTTGGAGACCAGCTTCCACACCAAGTGGGTGCAGATCTCAAAATTCAGTAAAAGTGGAGGCTGGGGATGTGGCTGATAAAGCTCCCCGAGTTTGGGTCCCCAATTAAAAGAAAAGGACTATTCTCTCCAATATTTCACTAGATGAGAAGTGACAATTAGCGGACGGTGTCCATTTGGACCAAGTGGGAAGAACGAACGTCTGGCCGAGCTGTGAGGTGGAGGGAAGGTGGGGTTTAGAAGGCAGGAGGCGCCTGCAATTTGGGGAACCTACAGCAGCCTCCGGAGGAGCTCCCCTGGGAGAAGGAAGGTGCATTTGTGGCCCTGCTTCCTCCACGTTGGGAAGAGTGGGTCGGGCCACCAGTAGGGAGCAAAGGGGACACCAGGGACCTGAGGCGCCCTTCCAAACCCAGGGAACCAGGGGACAGGCCCCAGGGCCACCCTCCAGCGGGGACTCTGCCACGCTCAGCAGCTAATCTCCAAACCCCAAAACCCAGCTCACCCCACGAGACCAAGGGACAGGGCCACGACTCCGCCGCGCTCCCCAGCTCACCCGGGCACCAGGCCCCAAGGCGGGTGGTGACGCGTGCCTTCAGCCCTGGTCGCAAACTCACCATTTTTGTCTTCTGTGGTGACCCGGCGTCCTCTCGGGGAACCTCCAGGCACCCGAGACGGGGGTGGGGGGGACACAGGCAAAGCAGAGTCACCTGAGTCCCTGGAGCAGAGAACTCTTGGCTTGAAGGATGAGGAGGGGAGTCGCTGAGGAAGAAACGCTCGCGAGATTGCGGAAGCCCGCCCTTCCTCTCGCTCTGCGCACTGATTGGGCAGTTCCCCCAGCATCCGGGATCGACAGCCTCCAGGCCCGCCTCTGCATCGTGATTGACATGCAACAGCATCCAATCACTGGCTGAAGTTGGGTAGAGTGACAGATGCTTGGCCCCAGCCCTTTTCAGGCGGAGCTTTTCAGCTGTGCTGGGAACTAATCCAGGTGGGAAGCCTTGGCTTTGCCTCTGGTACAGAGGTGACACCTGGCGCTGAGCTAGGCTTCAGCCATAGAGTGCTTTCTGAGCATGGCGAGCCCCTGGGTTTAACCTCAACACAAAAACAAAGCACAGCTTCTCAGGGAGGGTGAGGCTGGAGGAGCCCAAGGTCAGGTCAGCGTCTGCAAACAATGAGAGCCTCTCTTTTTATTTATTTATTTTTTAAGTTGTAGATAATACAATCTTTATTTATTTCTTTTTATGTGGTGCTAAGGATCGAACCCAGTGCCTCATGTGTGTGAGGCAGGCATTCTACCACTCTCTTAAAATAAAATGAAAAGGGTGGGGATGTAGCTCAGTGGTCCAGGTCAAGCCCCACTGGGTTTATATATATATATATATATATATATATATATATATATATATATATATATATATATATATATATACCTCAGGCAAATTAGAAAGACACTGTCTCCAAATTTTTGAAACACTCTTTAAAGATATCATATATATCACACATATATATTATACCTACTAATGAAAACAATTTGAAAAATATTTTAGTAATTCTCATTACCTCCTGGCCTCTGATCTTTGAGGAGGCAGCCTGACCTATAAAAGGAAACATTTGGGGTTCGGGCTGTGGCTCAGTGTTCCATCCCCAGCAGAGAAAGGGGTGGGGTGGGGGGAGGCAGGCAACCCTCTAAAACAGCAATGTGCAGCAGAAATAAAATGGGCGCCTTGTGCTCAATGTAGATAGTCTACATTCTAGTATTATCAATTCTTATGTACAGACCTGACTCTGCTGATCCCACAAGTCTGCTCAGCTGTTTGCCCTAAAAGCAAAAAGAAAAGGTGTTGATTGAAAGCAGGAAAGGAACTTTGACCAGTGCAGCTACACCAGGGAGACAAGGAAACCCTGTCCTTACCCTGTGTTTAGGTGCTGACAAGGGCTTTGAGACTTTCTAGAAAGGAAAATCATTGTCATGAATGTATAGGGGAAATTGTATGTAGGAGTTAGTATTTATTTTAAAAGAATAATATCATATTATTACTGCATTAGGTGATATGCTAATAATATCATAATATGTAGAATTGTATTAGGTTAGGCTTCAGGCATCTGTAGTCTCATAACATGTCTGTGAACTCAAGCTCATTTGCCCCCTTGAAACATGTCATTCTATTGCACAGAATGACCTCATTATTTTCTCTCAGTATAAAGTCCCCCTTTGTGAACTCTTTTTATGTGAAGGTTTCAGATGCACCAACATTTTCAAGAAAAGCCACAAGCCCATCTGCATCCTGCCTAGGAAGCAATGTACCCCCAGAAGCTGACCCAGTGCTCTCAGCTTCCTGGGTTTCAACTGATGGTTAAACCAGGAAGAAATAATAACCCTGCTCAGCTCTGCCAGAAAGCCCGCATATAAAACATAAAAATTTGCCAGTTGGGGCCAATACACCCTGTCATATTAACCCCAATAATGGAAAAAAAGGATTAGGGATGTAGCTCAGTGGTTAAGCACCCCAGGTTGAATCCCTAGTATCAATAGTAATAATAGTAATTAAAGTAATAATTTTGTTGATACATCTGCAGAATTGAAAGCTTGACACCTAAGAACTTGGAGCCTCTATGAGGACAAGGGCAACAAAGTCAATAGAGTCAAGGGTGTGGCTGGGTCTGAAGAACGTGACCCAGCCCAGAGGATGCTGAAGAACTCAGAGGTGACAAGGGGGGCTGGTGACAAGGGACACAGCAGGCCCAATGTGCTGGCTTTCTCTTCCACACAGCATGGGTGATGGGAAGGAAGCATGGCTCCTAGGGATGGCCAGCTGCCATCTCTTTCCTTATCCCAAGATCCACTGTGCTGGAGATGGGTTTGGCCATCAGGTAGAGGAGGATTTGGCTTCAGGTGGTGGCCTGAGGTCATCAATGAACAGTCAGGGTCTGTGGTCTGAAGGCCCCCAGGATGGGTGTTTTGTTACAGCAGCCCAGGAAGACTAATACAGTGATGCACCAGCCCTCTGACCAGTGCAATGACCTGAGTGTGTCTGGAGCTGACACATTGGAACTGAGGGTCCCTTAGCTCTGAGTGGCCCATGTGTGGGTGGGAAGAAGCTGTTCTGTCCTCTCCACAGCAGAGAGAAGGCGGCCTCCAACTAGATCCCGCACAGACACATTCACTATAATGAGACCTGAGAGTGTGACATCCAGAGAGCAGCTACTGCCTGAGGATCTACACCTCAGACAGGAAAAGCCACCCATCAGGATGGACGCCAGCCATGACTGATGTGTGTCTGTCCAGCCTGCTCTGCCCTGGCGCCCTCCAGCCACAGGCACAGCCCACCAGCTCCCAGCCCTGCCCGGCTGCTGGTCGACCTGAGTCCCTTCAGCTCTCACCTTCCTCCGTCACTATTCTCTATTTGGAGAAACACAGCTGATTTTAAAAAGGTTCTTAGAGATCAAAATTCCTCTTTCATGTCACTCCAGGGACAATGGCAGCTTCTAGGAACACAAACAACAGTGAGTGTGGCGCAGGGGAGGGTGTTAGACCAGGACGCAAGAAAAGACCACTGGCTCCAATTAAAATCAAATTAAAGCAAGGTTATTATTTTGACCAGCCGGGCTGCCTCTCCCACCCAACACTGACCCCGGGACCTGTCTGCACAGCAAGGCCCCCTCCTCCCCCACCATCTACCTTCCCTCCTGTCATCTTCCCCACCATCCTGACACCCGCTGGTTCCATTCTGTACTCCAGAGGCTCCGAAGTCTTCAGCAATCTGGGCCTTTTCTGGGTCTCTACTTGAGACACCCCTGCACATGCAAGCTTTTCTCCCTGTCTCTCTCTTACTGCCAATTTAATCCCCAGCCCACCTAGAGGCCCTTAATGGGGACAGTTTCTTTGCCAACATCTCCTGAGACCTCTCTTTCACGTCTCTGCAGTCACTCTCTGCTCTCTGGGCTGTGCTCCTGTGTAGAAGGCTTCAGCCAGTTTCCTGAATTTAGAATCCTGCTCTTGATGCAGGGGGGGCCTGTTTTCAACACTGCGTCATGTGCAGAGTGCCCCCTTCTGCGTTATGACCACTGATTTTACATGCCCTCCTCCGTGGTGTTCAATCTTCAATCCCCACGTAGACGTGTAAGGTCCTTCCTTATACTCTGGTGCACTGTTCCAAGTGTCTGTTGGTGCATTTGCTACTGTACATTGCTTCCAGGGAAAATGGGCCTTTTTTACTAGTTAATGTGCCTGTACGGACACAGTCCTTCCTTTACCCAATGATAATTGTAAAATATTTTCTGTAAAATACTTCTCCATAAACTTTTAAAATGGTAATAAATAATAAAGCACCAATTGTAAGTGACACTGCATCTTTCCCCTTCCAGCTGCTCAGATCTTATATGGCATATTTTCTCCACGGTCTCTGGGAGAAGGCTTTGATTTTTTTTTTTACATTATTTTCATATCTTTTACTGAGAAAAAAATATTCAATGATAGATATTAATGTGCTGTAGGAAAACCATAGACAAGGACCACTGTGCTGGGCCTCTGGACTCAGTCCTGAGAGGGAGCGCAGCACATGGCGATGGAGTGGTGCAGGGTCAGTAGAGGAAGGTGGCTAAACCAAGCATCAGCCTCAGAGAGCTCCGCTAAATTGACCTGAAGCCTGCCCAGGATGGTCAGTTACTGCCTGTGGGATGGTGAAGGACAAGGACCCTGATAAGGGATTCACCTGGGAATTTCTACAAACAAATGGATGTAGCAATGGTTCTTTGCTCTAAGTGTATTTCATAAGGATGAGTCATTAGGTTGACTAAACTTTGGCCCAGCAAACATTTATGTCACCTTCAATGGAGCTGTAACATCCGGGCTTCACATCAAAGCTGAGCCCAGGGACAGCTTCACTGGCACACCTATGATCAACCCTACTTACACAACCTTGTGGGCTTGCAGGGGAATGAAGAAAGCTAAGGAGAAGGGTACACTTCTTGAGCAGCGGTCCCCACCACTGTGTTGCTGATGACGCATCACAACTTCTAGGTCTGGTCTGCATTAGAAAAGTGAGAAGGCAAGTGGGGACACTGCAGCTACCTCCAAGTCACACCTGCAGGTGGTGGGATGAAGCGCTATCTTCCCTACTTCCTCCAGGGGGCAGTGTTGCACAGCTTCTGGCCACACTCGTCCTCTCTGTGGGCCAGCGTGTCCATATGAAGGCTTCAGAGACTGGAGTGATGCAAATGTAAGTGTGAGGTCACAGCATTGTCTTTCTGTTACTACTATGTGAAATCAAACTCTTTGCCACTTAATGCCCATGAGCAGCCCATAACTAACATTTATCAGTGTGTGCATGTTTTATTTCATCCAAGAATGTGCTCTTTTATCCACTATGCTTGTCCATGCTCACAGAAGTCCTCCCTGAGTAGAGTCAAGTCCAGCCCTGCAATAAACCTGTGGAGGAACATGAGGCCTTTTCTCACTTTTGCTTTAATTCTCCTCATTTAGTAACTGACAGGGGTTCAAAATGCAGATGAGGTTGTAATATTCTTTCAGCTGGTTCAAGTCAGACCTCTTTACCTGACACAAATTAGCCTTGATTTTATTTTCCTGGTGAGAAGAGCTTAGATGGCCCCAAACATTCATTAGCCCCTAGCTGGGATGCACTGGCTGTATGCACAGGTTTCTGCAGAGAAACACAGGTTTTAGGTTTTGGCGTCTAGTAGGCACAGCATATGTCCCCAGCTGGTTATGGGTGACAAGTTGTGTTCCCTCACATGTTCAACATTAGAGAAGCACACCAAGACAAGCATTTAAGAAAGGTTTATTTTAAAAGGCGGAGGTCTACTTCTCCCAGTGAAGCCAGAAATAGACAGGCAGTTGGTCCACATAGGTAAATCCAGTCAGGTCAGGTCAAGGAGGCCAACTGGAGTGAGT